TGTTTCCAGTGCGTGCATGTGCAGAGCTGCCAGAAAGCAAGAACAGTTAAGACAAACGGGGCGACTCGTGAGTAAGGCTTGGAGATGATTAGCCCCTCCCTTAAGACATAAAGGAGTAGCAAAGGCACATGAGCCTTTGCAGGAAGCAACTTTGTTCATTTTGGTTGGTTTAAACTCTGAAGCTCCCTTTTGACTCTGTGCTCCATTTGGCCTTGCAAAGCTAATTGGCAATCAGATCTTTGGCAGAGTTTTTCAAGGGAGATAAAGGCTTATCAGCCTTATCCCGAAAGACTGTGACAGACTTCTGTCAGACTCTTTACAAACTATTTGTGACTCATTAAGGGCTGTGAATGAACATAATTCACAGCCATTGAAATAAAAAGAGGGTTTTTGGGGACTAAGCGTGTGATTTTTACTGTCTCAGGAAGCCTAGGTTGGAACATACTCCATTGTTCTCACTGCCAAGAAACTTTCTCCTTACTTCTAGGCTGGACCTCTCTTTAGCAAGTTTCCACCCATAACTTCTTGTCCTGCCTTCTGGTGTTTTGGAGAATAAGTCCATCCTCTCTTCTTGGCGACAGCTGCTCAAGTACTGGAAGGCAGCTATCGTGTCTCCCCTAATCCTTCCCTTTGATATGCTAGACACCCATTTCTATTGCAAAGTCTGGCTTAAAGGATCCCCATGGAAGCATTTCGTCCCATGATTTAGATCCCTCTTATCTCCAATTAACCTACGATTCCAGTTTTGCCTTTGCATTAGAAGCTGATTAGAATTAAGAGCTGCATTCTTTTAAACAAGGCCATCTGGATTGAACAAAACCGTTTAGTGCAAAAAAATAAACCCTGTTAAAAAAAAATCATCTCCAAATTGGCTCAATCCGCCCTTATTTTGAAGCCATTAGTCCTCTACCAAGGGTCTATTTATAGCCTGTCTCAGCTTTAATTGCTGAGAATATAAATTCTATAAACACATACACAGAACTTGTTTATATCACCACAGGAAACAGAGGTTGCTAGCCGAAGGAACAAACTTGGCAAGGGATCCTCAGTACCATGGAAGGGCAAGTGTTTTCCACTGAAGCCATGAGGCTTAAATACTTCGCATTGAACTGAAGTCCAACTCTGCATTCAAATGGAATAAAACCAGCTTAGCTTTCCTTAAAAGTTTAGCCGGTTTCTTCCTGATACACTTAATTTTTTTTCTAACAAAAAAAATTAAACCTTTTGCATTTCCTGTGCTCCGGTTGAAATGCCTGAGCTCTAACAGCAAGATATGTTAATATTGGTGCGATTCAGTGGGGAGAACCTGGGGCAGCTAATCCATCTCGCTTCTCAGCAGATGCTGAAGGTCACAGGTTCAATCCCACAGGTAGTCAGGAAAGTTTTCTGCCCGGGACTGAAAAAAACAACTGTTTCCTCTACTGAGACAGATAGATATGTGGGAGAGGTAGGTTTCTCTCTGGTTCAGGTGAACTGGGGGTGGCGGCTGTGGGAGGCTCTGCCTATCCGCCCGGATATAATGCGCAAGCACTGTGCATGCACAGAAGGAGGTGCGCATGTGCAGATGTGGTGCATGCACTCACATTTGCGAACCGGTAGGGAAGATAAGCAAATCCCACCGCTGATTTGTGGTCTGCAGAAAGCACTTTCTCCCTTACTTAAGGACTGTCATCCAGAGGTGAGCTGCTACCGGTTCAGATCGGTTCGGGCAAACCAGTAGTTCCGAACAATGGTTGGGCCTGCCCACCCGCCCTGGTTGTTACAGTATGTGACACCCACCTCTGCTGTCATCCTTCCATTTGGAGAACAAGAAGCTCTCTTACTCTATCCAGGAGGAAAGGGCTCTTCTCTGTAAAACCTATTTAGCAAGGTGGAGGCCTCGCTCTCAGTGTCCTTCAGGGGTAGAATGTATTTTGGGCAGGCAAAAGTCTCAGGACCAGCCACCTAGCATCATTGGCAGCATCTGGAATGGTTCCTTCTTGAAGCCCCAGAAACATTCAGGGAGAGGGAATTGCACCGTGAGGCATTTTCCATGCAACATCTCCACTGGGTTTTACACTACGTGTTAAATGCAGACCAGTAGCTATCCGTTCAGAGCGTTCTCCGTACCCTACCATACTGTAGCAATGAACCTGGCTATTGCCTTAAGCCAGTGATGGCATACCTTTTTGGCACCGACTGCCGAAAAGGGAGCACGCACATGTGGTACCGAATGCTGAAAAGGGAGTACTTCACGCGCGTGTGTCTGGGCCGTGATCAGGAAAAGGAGCTGCCCAAGGGGGGCATGTGTGCGCCAACCAGCAAGTCTTCCAGTTACTGCTGCGCATGCGCATGTGCCAATCAGCTGGCCAGCATGCATGCTCACACCGGAAAACGGAAGACCAGCTCTTCCGTTTCTGGCACTGTCAGACACACAAAGGCCAGCTGATCATTGCATGTGCATGCGTGCCAAAAACCCGGAAGAGGAATGGGAAACACTGCACGTGCCAGGCAACATGGCTCCGCATGCCATTTCGGGCACGCATGCAATAGGTTCTCCATCATGGCCTTAAGCCCCCCCCCCAAAAAAATGCTTACAATTCAGATAGGAGAGACAATCAGGCCAGTAAAAAGGAACTGCACCTCCACACATATTAAATGGTTAATTTTACCTTCATTTTTTAGGATTTAGAGAGAGAAACCAGCCTATTTGTTTAATTTCTGATTCATTATGCATATCTACAAAATGGATGAATTTAACAAGCAACTTAAATGTGTTGCCTGAACCCAGCCAGTGTTAGCAGCTTCTGTTTATCAAGTGATGGGACTAAACAAACCTGGCCAAAATTTCAGGAGACATTATCCCAAACGTATTTGATCCCCTCCCTCCCTCCCCCCCCCTCTCTCTCCATATTTCTGCTCTGAGCATCCCTCGACTTCTGATGGATTATTGGCCTTTTCTGCTTATAGGCCAGTGCCATCGACTACTTCTACTGAGGCCTGGCCTATCAGAACAATCTTGTTTCCACAAATGCGTAGATGCAATGTTCCTTGCTCACCATTCATAAAGCCTCAAAGCCATCTACAGTACCAAGAAGATAAGACTGTGGTTCATGCAATGGTTGGAGGTTGCCCAAAGCAACTTCTTGAGACTTTCTTCACTTTGAACGAACCATCATGATCTTATAACGTTGAGATCACAGGAAGTCTGGAAAAGTGGACTCTGCAGGAAAGCTCAGATGTGAGGTCAGATGGCCACCACCCAATAATCCACAGAGTTGCCACGTTTACGTTGCGATACTGTGGTCTGTTCTCGGAAACCTGAGGAGAAAGGTTTGCAGAGATCCACTTCTTGGGAAGCCAGCTTTCTCCTTTTTGAACTTCCACGTGCTGTCCTCTACGGTG